ACACACACACACACACACACACATATATATATATATATATATATATATATATATATATATATATATATTATATATATATATATATATATCTGTGTGTGTGTGTGTGTGTGTGTGTGTTTACATTTAAATATGTGTCCATGGTGTTTATCTTATTTAATCTGAGATACTACCTGTGTAGAGGGCACGACAGCTGTCAGCCACTGGTCCGCCTCTGGAGACTATATAAATTTCTCCCTGGATTTCATATCATATTTATGAAAAGTGTTAGGGTAATCAAAGATGCATAATAAGAGAATTTTACATCAAATTTACTAAAGTGCGTACTCCATATGCTAATTAGGCAAAGGAAAGTATTTTTAAGTGTCCCCTAAAAGAATTTCCATTTTCTTTAATTTATACATCGTGCAGCTATTTTCTAATGCAAAAATATGTCTGTTGTATATCAAGAGAATTTTACATAAAATTTATCTAGATTGCGTACTCCATATGCTAATTAGGCAAAATAAATAATTATTTTTAAGGCTCCGCTACAAGAATCTCAATTTTCTTTTAATTTACACCTCGTGCAGGTATTTTCTATGACAAAAAACATGTCTTTCTTGTAAAATTCGGATCATACCAATGGTGAAAATGAAAGAATTATGGCATAATTGCGTTTCAGTTTTTCCATTTTCAATAACTATGTAAATATAAAACGTAAAAAAAATATCAGGTTATGATTTTGACTTTATTTTACTCAGTTAGATATCTGATTTTTGCATGGTGAATATATCAACTTTAAGGCCTAATCAAATAGCACATAGAAACGAGTATTTTCATATGCCTTTGATATAATCTGTTGGTGATTCCTTTGCAAATTAATGACCATTGATGTATGATGATAGTTGATCTGTGAAAACTGCTTCACAAAACAAAACAAAAATGTATAAACGCAAAAGTGAGAGAGCTTGAATGATGCCAATTATGTAATCAACTGATAGATTGCGGAAAACATAAGTCAGTTTCATTTAACCTATGTTCCTCGCATGTGAGTACAGTTTCCTCGCAAGGTTTAAGACTAATGTCTTTGGTAGTTTTTGGCAATCACTGATTTTATATTTGCCATGGTACCAATATTTACATTAATTACCATTACATTTTAGCGTAACATTTGCTAAAATCAAAGTGTATAAATGATGATATGACTAAAAGCACTCGTGATATTAAAGCCTTAAATTGCGGTCACACAAGCATTTTCAGTCCAACTGTCCCTGTAACCGCGGCCAGAATTCTGCTGGTTCCGTGGGCACCTGGGCACAGCTGTAAACCCGTCACCCAAGGTCATCAGCAACCCCAGCTGGTACTATTGAAGGCTTGGTCCCTCATAAGCTCACATCTCTATGCTGCTAGGCCTTATATGTTCCTCTTGGTTCCAAGGTTTTGCTGTGGTTGTCTTAAAGAGATCGTTTGACTTCTCTACAGCTGGCACGGCCTTGGCCCTTACGTTATAACCTGTGATTTATGTGCGCACTGCCAGAGTGTTTAATTGCTTGCGATTAAACCCTTCCCCTGTAGCCATGCTTCTCTGGTTCTATTTTCAGCATTAGGATAACTTTTGAACACCTGGTGAACTGGACTCCATCTTCGGGCTCGTGCTCGGACGTGGGCAGGCCTTTACCTCCCGCAGGGGAGGGTGTGTCTGGGGCCTTATCTTGCGGTGACTGCGAGTTCGCCATTCTGTTGCTAGGGACTGGTCTAGCAATCCATCTTAATTATTGCGACTCCAGTTCAAAATTCTGATAGAAACGAACAGGCAGGTAGGAGCCCCTCCCTTGCCAACGCCGTCAGCCTCCTTTACCTCGTCCAGTCATACAGCTGCTAGACTGTTCACCTGCCGCGTCATGATTTACACACCTTATGCCATGAATCGTGGGCCATGTCATAAAATTATCACACGATGGAGGTCCCATCCCTTGTGAGGTGGCTCTCCAGAACATATTGACCCTCACTGAGGTGGCACCTCTGTACATTTCACAATGGCTTCAAAGCAACAGTAACCGAACTAAAAAAGCTAAAGAAAACTGAAACGTCTTCCATTCCCGTCCTCTCCCCCGAAATGAGGGCTAAATGTACGGTCGTGGCTAAAAAAGATCGACAGGACTATCCTCCCACGATCGTGTCTGCCAGGAAGTATGCCATTGTCCTTGACGTTTACGTGCCTCCTGAGTCACAAATCGTTAAGGTTGGTGACTCTTCATCAGAAGATGCACATCAACTTCTCACGCAAGGGATCATGAGGATTAATACATCGGTCCCAACTTACAGTATAGAACCAGAGTGCTTTATTCACGTCGAACAATGCTTAAATTGCTACTGCTTCAACTACAACAAACACCATACCCACAGAGAAGCTCTCGTTGCGCTGGCGAAGGTCACTTCTTCGCCAAGTACAACGGAAGCCTCAAATGCTACAACTGCGAGAGGTCGCACTATAGAACTCGACACTACGGCTACACACCCA